GAACACGGGAAGCAAAGGAAGGCAGGCAGCGGTAGCAGGAGGTGCCTGTGAAGTAGAAAAGGGAAATGCTTCCTTCTATCTGAGAGCCAGAAGAATCAACTTCATCTGTAGGAAAGAGTTTATGGTATTAGATAAAGCAGCAATAGGTGTGATTTAAATACTTTTGAGGCTGTGCCTATCTGCCTGATAGATGTGCATGAAGTAGATACACCCTAAAGCTTTCTTCTTTCAAGGTCAACAACATTTTCAACAACAATGTTTCTGGAAAGGATGTCTGTTTGAGATTTAGGTAGATAATCCAACAATGGAGAGGAAATTCAGTTTATCAGACAAGAAACAGGAAGGGAAGTGGCAAGCAGAAGCAAAGAACATGTAAGACAGAGCTCTGAGCTGTGCTGCCTGTATTACTTGATCTCCCATCTCTCTTCAAACACAACAGGTAGAGGTTTCAAATTTCATGTCTAAGCAAGGCAATTGCTCTTCATATCCAGTCAAGAAATGGGGTTTTTTTCCAACAGAGATATCTACAAAGGGTGTCCTAAAGGTATTATATTCTAACAGTGCATCTTACACACAAGCAACTGGGCAATTAAAATTTGCTGTAGCAGAGCACAGCCCAGAAGCCTGAATTAAATCTTAACAAGGAAACAAGAACTGAAAGGGGATCCTTGGCCTACTCATTTTCCTTCCTAATTCTAGTAAAATAATACAGAGACTAAGGAACCAGAACATATAGGAAACAAAGCAGTCATTTCTCCTAGCAGTCAGTTCACAGGGAGAACCTCCATTTAATACAGCATCTGTACAAACAGACTGAACTAGTACAGGTCTAAGAGATAATTAATGACATCCAACCCTCAATATATCTGAGACCTTAAGACTGAAAATTCTGCTACCTGAGAAGGGGTACAGCCTTCAGTCTCAACTGACAGCAAATTAGACAGGTGTAAAATAAGCAAGTTTCTGCAGAGGTATCATCACTGTCTTCAGTAAGGGAGCCCAACACCCTCTGAAGATCATACGGTTCTTTTGCCATACTTTGGCAGGGTTCTTTGTTTCTCCATGGCTCCCTGCAAGATACCACCCACTACAGATTAAGTTAAAATTAGTTCATTAAAAATAAATTAAATCAGAAGCAAATGTATCTAGCAAAATACATACAGCCTGGATACAGATACTTGAAAGCAGCACTGAAATAATGATTTGCTATCAACTTAGTACTGCAGCAGGGAACAGTGAGTAAAAGAGGTCACCATCCACCTCAAAGTTTGAAAGTGCCAGAACTTCTAAATTTAAGAACACTAAATGTCAAGTTCCTGCCAAAAATACATATACACTCCCCGCCATTTGCTCCCACCTAACATTTGCATAAGAGAGTCAGAGATACTTGTGAAAAAATTGGCAAGATATTGCATTCTCTGAGTTCCTAGAAGCAAGGCTTCTGAATTAAGAAGCAAGTCCACTGAATTAAGATCTTCAGAAGCAGGAAGAAAAACTTAATAAGCTTTTAATTAAGAGCTTCTGTGAAAAGCATTAGCAAACAGTAGTTCTGCAGTGGGAAACTGCAAAGTAATCTTGTTTTCACCACAACAGGGTTTTCTAGAGTTTGAGGGCAGAGACAAAGATGAGTCTCTGCCTCTGTTGCTTAAGTAACCCAGCAAGACCCTCCCAGCTGGGTCTCTACCGCCAGCCTAGACAAGCTCAACAGCAGGGGCTTCTGCAGAAGGATGATACCGGCCTGCGGATGGAGAGCTTCTGTCAACACCGGGCTGGACCACGCAGGCAAAATCCCCTCTAGTGTCTCTGCAGTCCAAAGTGGGCTCTGATCAGCATATATTGACTTTACTCATGGTATGGGGGTACCTATGCCACTGGGCTAAAGCTTCAAGTTCATTCTCAGCGCCGCTCCGCGAAAACCACATAAGACGGATGATGGTGCATCAGTACTGCAAAGGCATTTCTACCATATTTCACAACCATATTCCAGCTCAATAAACAGGAAAAAATCTGAAATATGCACCAAATTAAACACACAATCTGCTTCCTTTTAAGGCTTCTCAACATGGGAAAGGAATCGTGAACCCCGGCCTGTAATAAATTAGGGGTGGTTAAACATCATCCCTGTGTTCGCTGTCTCGCTCCCGCGTCCCCCGGAGGCGGCGGCTGTTTACGCGCTGTCCCTTCCACACACGCCGTTTCCGCGCACCGCCGCAGCCCGGCACGGCTCGGGACCGAGGGCCGAGCGCGCACGGACGGAGCCGGCAGCGCTGCCCGTGACAGCGCCGGCGACCGAACCGGGCGGGCAGGGCCTCCCCAAGATGGGGGCTCGGCCGTGCCCGCCCGGCGCGGGGCCGCCTCCCGCCGCAGCCGCGCGACCCCTCCGCGCTGGGCGCCCGGCCCGCGCCCTCTCCCGCTGCCCCCCGCTCCGCGGCCGGCACCCATCGCTCACCTCCGCAGCCGCGGCTCGCCGGGCACCGCCCCGCGGCAGCCTCCGGCCCCGCGCCCCCAGCGGCTCCGGCGCCCGCCCGCTCTGACGGCGCCGGGAGCGGCGGCCCCGCCCCGGCCCTGGCCCGGCCCCCTGCGGCCTCAGCCGGGCCGGCATCGCCCGCCCGTCCGCCCGCGCTGGAGCGGCAGCGCTTCGGGCTGCCCCCGCCGGCTCCGGAGGATCCAAAAATATAGAAACTAGGATTCTCTTGTATCTTCATCTGCAGTTAAGCACCGGAGACAGAAGAAATTCTTCCAAACTACATTTCCCCACGCCCAGCTTATCACTACGTCCTTTTGTCCTGTCGCTGGTTGCCAGAGGGTAGAGGTGGACCCCCACCCAGCTACAGCCTCCTTTCAGGTGGCTGTAGGGAGCACTGAGCTCACCCCTGAGTCCCCTTTTCTCCAGGCTAAACAACCCCAGCTCCCTCAGCTGCTCCTCACAGGACTTGTGCTCCACACACACCCTTCACCAGCCTCACTGCCCTTCTCTGGACATGCTCCAGCACCTCATTGCTTTTCTTGAATTGAGGGGCCCAAACTGGACACAGCACTCAAGGTGTGACCTCACCTGTGTGGAGTACAAGGGAAGAATTACTTCCCTAGTCTTGCTGCTCACACTGATACATTTTAGCATGTTTCCTCCATCCATCCATCCATCCATCCATCCATCCATCCATCCATCCATCATTCTCCACACCTGAAGTTGTTTGATAGCTGTCTCACTCACAGGCACATGTTGAAATTGCTGTGTAGCTGGAGGCTGGGTTCCATTTCTTAACGAATTTCTGTACCCCACTATTATCAATGAGGGATTTATAGTGCTCAGGTAACATTAAGAGTCATTTGAAAGAATGTAGGAAGAGGTCAAAGCCCAGCTCTGGCACATTCTGTTATTTTTACATGGTGCACAAAAGCCAAGGAGAACACAGGTTACTAACAAGTTACCTTTTGGGAACTCCCAGGAGAGAGGTGAGGGGGAAAGACTGAAGTGGGGAATCAGTGAGACACAAACACACTTGTCTCTGCAGAGGACTGCTGCCAAGAACCAGCTGAGCCAGTCCCAACACTGCTCTAGTGTAAGAATTTTAATTTGCCTGTTGCAGTTCCCTCATGCTGGAAGCTGCCAGCTGAAGTCCCCAGTATAATCTGAACTGGGATAGAGAAGCCAGGAGAGACAGATTGAATTTTTAATTTTTCTTTCTGTGTGTCATTGGTGAAATGCCATGAAGGACTCCCTGTTTCAAAACCACACAAAATTTATAGAGAGGAGCTGTTTTCAATGCATAATAATTTTTCTCATTTACCTTTGCCCATCATTTAGCATTAAGCTAATGAACCCTGCCACATTTTTCAACAAAGAGGCAGAAAATAAGAGTTCTTCTGCATACCATGCAAACTTAAAGCTATCCTTGCAAAAAAACATTAAATATATTTGGTGAGAACAAGCTGGAAAGCAAGTAGATCTTGTCACTAGCACATTTCAAATTAAATACAGATCTTGACTGAAAAAAACCCCCAGAGTTTATTTGCAGCTGATGACATTATTAATCATCATCAACCAAAGTACTACCTTTGTAAACAGCAGACTTGGACAGCTCCCCACCAAGGACTCTGGAAGAACAATGTTTACTATTGATATTCATTTAGTATTTGATTTTGTTCATTTGATACTATTGATATTCATTTAGTATTAAGGAATAAAAACAGCACTGAAACCCAAGGGACCAGAAGGGCCTTACGTTGCACCAGTGTTGGAGGATGTGGAAAATCACCGTGTTATTTGTGGGCAGAGCAGTCTGAATTACCCAGGGCAAAATACAAGAAAACCCAGCAGGGTAGGAATGGATATGCTTGAGAGGTTTTCCATTTTCCTAATTTTTTGTAAGATTATGTTTTCCTCATCTATATGTAACGAAACCTCACAAATAGAGGGGAGTTGTATTTCAGTAGAGTACTTAGAGAGCTGCTCTGGGACCATTACCAACTATATGATTATTTCACATTTTCTTCAAAAGTGTGTACATACATATAAACTCATTGCCAATTCTATTTGTGGACAACCCAACACCTGACAGTGCTGAACACAAGAACTGGGCCATCACAGAGAAGTTCTGGAACAGATGATAAAGCATGCTGTTCAAAACTTCTATTATTCTTCAATGGCCACATGTCAGGTTATAAATCCAGGAAAAGAACAAAAAGCTACACCCTGGAGAAACAAGCCATACACTGGGAAAACATCAGAGGGAAAAACTACTGACTTTGAAAAATGCATCAGGGTCATAAGGGACATGGAATTGAACACAAGATCTCAACTTAACACGGTGTGTTAAGTGACAAAATGTGACACTCACCTTGGAAGCACAATCAATAGTTTAAAAAGAAAGCAGGGGTTTTACCTGTACAGAGATCAATGAAAAAAATCAGTAATAGAGGTTTATTTCCTTCCTAAAATAAGGTTGCAAATTTCCCCCCCATGATGAGACTAAGGAAGACAGGTATAACAGAAGTCACAAGTTTGGGGAGTCAATCCATGCATTTCATTGCATCTTTTTCTTTTCAATTTTTTAAATTTCAAATGCATTACAGCAGGAAAACATAAGATACTACTAAACTCTTTGAAGAGCCATCTTCTCTTCTTCTCCCAGAAGTGAAAACTGAAGTCAAATTCTGATCATAAGACAGACATGCTCTTTCTATAGAGGGATTACTGGCTATTGAAACATTCTATCAAGAGAAAACATAATCAGATTTTATGCCATTTTCAAGAGCTGATACCTTTCTCTGGCATAAAAAGCTTCACAGAAGGTCAGACTAGGTGTCTCTTACTTTAATTACTAATATAAAGCAGGAAGGGACCTGAATGTCCAGTCTCAGCTGATAAAAGGCTTTATGAAGTTTTTGCCCACAAATTGAGCAATACAAATTTTTACATATCCAATAATCAATCTCCTCAATGCACTATTTACTCTCATCTTCCTCAGCGTGCCAACAACCCAACAACCTGTAACAGATTTCTTCCCACTCTGAATTCCAGAAATCATCCTGCTATGAACCTTAGTGAGGTAAAGCTGCTACAGAACCAAAGCTTGAGAAAACAGCTAATAAATACTAGACCTTTGTGACCTCAGAAAGACTTCAAAACTTTCCCCACCAAAAAAGCCTCAAAAGTTCCTGTCACAAATTGACTACAAAAAGTTCATATTCCTCTTCCTTGGAGTGGTAATGAAAGGAAACAATACAATTTTACAGTAACACAATTTATCATTAGAACTTATTAATTATGAGCCAATTTCTGCTTTGCTATTTTTCTATGGCTCCTTTCAAAGCAATAGTAGCAATATTGCAGATTTTTAAAATCCTGTTCTAGGTCACAGAGATTTACTTGTATCATTTCCTCTGTTACTAAAAAATCTTTAGGGAAATTATTCCATTCTATTTCACTGCAGCCCATTAGTACCTACAGGTCAGCCAAAAAAGAATATTGCATCTGAAAGCCTCCATCAGGACACACCAACCTCAGCTTGACATTAAAATATATTTCCAGTGTTCAGCTACTAAAATACATTATTACTTGAAATATATCACCTTCTACTGACCTAATTAAGCAACTGTTAAAATGCTAACCTTTTTTATTCTTCCACTTTCAGTGTTCAAGAACATTATAAATGAATCTTCAGTAAATCCTGAAAATAAAGCATAGTCCACTTCAAGAAGCTCCTATGTTTACAGAATTTTCTTCCTACAGACTGTCAACCAAGTAATTGTGAAGTGTGCAACTTACAGAAATAACCAGTTAATGATTTTCTCAAGATATCTGCAATAAAACCATGCCTGAGACACAAAATTCAGCAGGTAGATTTGGAAAAAGAAAAATGGGAAAGGATCTTAAGGTTTCTGGTTATTATTCTGTCAACTACAATTTATGACTGGAATTAAGCTGTTGTGCTCTTCAGCTTTAGACAAGAAACATATTTACAATAAATACACATATTCTAAATGACGACATATCAAGGCAGTGTAAAATTCATCATGTTAACAAAGCTGCTACAGTTCTGTATTTGTAAATTTTCTAACCACAGGCTTGAACAACAGATATTGCTTACCACCTACGTTCTGTGGCTGCATTTTTAGATGATGACTTCATTTAATGCTGCTCTTATGAGTAGAAGGTGTCAAGCTAGTTTGTTCCAGGCTTTCACTGAAAACATATAATTTTAAATGTTTTCTTTGAAAAAAAGCATCTCATCCAACCTGCTACTCTCCAGAAACTTGAAGAAGTGAAAAGAGACTGGAGAATCAATTCCTTGTGCCACAGTGAATCATGAAGCCCTTTATAATACAAATGCACCTAATCTGGGTGCAGAAAATATTTCAAAAGTGAGGGTTTTATAAAGATACTTTGTCTTTCCTTCTGAGAAGCACATCTTACATACTAGATGTGTGATACTTTTTAAACACCAACCCTTCTCTTACTTTTCAAGCTATGTACAAGTGGGTCTTTGTTCAACAGACTCATATGCTTATCACTATGTACTAACTTGAAAGAACAATTAACAGCCTAAAGAATTTTCAGAGTAAATGACCACAGCCTATTTTTTATCGTCATAAACATGTGAGCAGTTCTGCAATATGTGCTTACAGCTCTGTAAATAGAACCATGTTTGCAGGATTGGACCACAGAGAGAACATTTAAATTGCTGAAACAGAATGTTGTAACACAGACAGGCCCTAACACTGACAGAGCTGAGATGTCAGTCTCAGCAGCATTTAGCACCCTCTGACTCTCCATCATGGAAAACAAATGAGAGGAACAAGAGCAGCAGTGAGGTCCTTGCAAACCCTGTTCTTTACTTATTCAACACAAATTATTAGCACAGCTTATATTTGGGATCCTGAAACTAGTATTAGCCTTTTGGCACCATGCCAACCATTGGTCCTCATCAACTCAATTTCACAGATCCCCTCTTGCAGAATCTACCAAAGAACAGAAAAATGCATTTGTTTCAGTAAAAGTCAGTAATGTAGCACAACGCATGAAACAAAAACATGAATATATTTAAATAAAAACATTTTGTGCATTAGGGGAAAAGCTGCAATCAAATGCATAGGCTTTAGGGCATTAATGAAGTGAATTATTTTTCTCAAAGGAGCATTAATATCTCTCAAGTAGGACAATGCTCAAAGTCCCAAGACAATTATATAATTACTTATCTTTAGATAGAGTATTATGTTACACAATATTGGAACTTAATAAGTCTCTTGAGCAAATCAGTATTTTGATTCCTGTTACAGTATTTTCATACTGTCCTAGGTAGTTTAGTGAACCATTAGGAAGTTTTGACACTAACATTCTATTGGATCAAATAATACATGTGTTCTGTTAATTATTAAATCCACAAATATCCAACAGATTTAATTTTAACACTTGATGTCCACTGGATCGAGCTGATTACTAGAAATAACTATGTGTCTGTCTATGATGCAGCAATGTTTCTGCTCCCTTCCAAAAGGAGTTGCTGCAGCACCAATAGGAGAGGCTTAGTGATTATGGCTGAGAAAGGAACAAAGATCACTTGAACAATCAATATACAAACCCATGCATTAGGGCACACCATGAAAGAGTCCCTGACTACCAAACTCCCATACCATTCCCACTCCTCTCTCTAACTGACATTTCAATACCTACCATCTGGCTTTATATTTATTTTTAGTACCTTTTTTATGTTTTTCCCCATGGAAAAGGCTTGTGAGTAATACTTTGGAATTAGTGTGTTAAGATAAAAATACTCTTATAGACATAAATTATCATTTTAGTGTACGTATAAAGCTAATATGGTAAGTAGGCTGTGGAAAACAAAGGATGCTTACAGCACTTGAACAAATGAACTAGCTTCCACATGATCAATAGAACACAGAAATGTGAAATCAGAGTTAATTTAGGTGGCAAAAATAAGGTCCTACACACACAAGGAATACAAACATTCTCTGACTCATTACAGAACAGTTGCTTAAGACAGACAAAATTAAATAGTCAACATGTGCTCCTTCACTGAAGTCATCAGCTTTAGAAACAAAAAGCATTGCATACATCTGTTCAGACTGAATGTGTATCAGACACTTGGCTATAAATTCAGCCAAGAAAAGAATTTACTATGGCTCTCTCCCCTCTCACTATTTCCTCATCTCACTTCTAATCAACTAGTCTGATTTGAGTTTCCACATGTAAGAGTTACAACACCATCTATTTCTTAAAGGTTTGACACTTAAAGAGGTGGGGACACTGAAGGAAGAAAAAGGAAATGTTCCTCTGGAAAAGCAGGTCTTATGCAGAACCACTTAACATTTACCACAGTCATGGTTTAAGCACTATTTAATGCTTCTTACTCCCATAAATCCCACTTCCTTAGCAGTGTGGGACTGAAAAACAGCACCACTCCCATCTATTACATGTTTATTGGGTAGCAAATTTACTGGAGAGGAAGCACCTTGCACACACATTTTACAACCTTGGTCAGTTCCTCGTCTCTGAAAATAGTTCTATTCTGAGAAACCCCCTGAGATACTCATCTACTAAGGAAACTCTTCCTCAACACATCAAGTGTTGTTCCATACCTTGTATTATTTCTAATAGTAAAAGATTATCAGAATTTACAGTAGAGTCACAAATGACAACTTTACTTCAAAACAGAATTACAACTTCTGCAGCTTGTTCTGGATTTCACATTTTTATTGCAAGTACATGACAGGTACTCATTTTGGCCAGAACTTGTAGCTTTATCCTTGCCTTCTTTTTAACATTTAAATGCACATCCAGGTCAATCTGTTGGAATACTCAGGAGTAGATACCTTCCATGAAAACACTGCATGAAAGGATGCAGCAGGTACCATCTTCTTATTTTAGTCTCTGTTTTGTGTAGAGTGCTGATGAACCCCAAATTTCCATGGTGAGATCTCTTGATGAGGACTTCAGTATCCCTTCCTTCCTCTGAATCTTGCCCTGGTATCCAACTGAAAATTGAAGACAATATATTATTATAGAGTGTTTGTGCTACCTTGGCACTTTTTAACATCAGAACAAAGCAGAAGAAAACCAGTGATGTAGCCAACAAGCCACAGGGGATTCTGATGAAAGAGGCGTTATATGATCTTAAACCTCACACAAAACTACAATTATGTGCTAAGTGCCCTATGTGTTCTGAAATAAACAACATAAATGATAGAACAGCATAGTAGGATGGCAAGGAACCCATGAAAAACAAGGTAGAGTAAATCTGCTCAGATCAATTTTGCAAACATAACTGATAAACTGGAGGAGGAAAATTCAGAGCTAGCTGAAGTAGGAGTCATACAAATGTCTGTGAGGAGAGGGATAACTTAAATACACAAAGTTTCTGGAAAAAAACTAGACATAAACCAGTAAAAACAGAAACAATATTCAGCTTGTAAAATCTGCAAGTTTGTTCTTGGCAATTACAGAAAAAGCATTTAATGACAGGCTAAAGAAGATGGTAAAGCTAAAATAAAAGCCACAGTGCAGCACTTACAGAAGCTAAACTGCAAGTTCTTTTCCAATGCAGCAGAAAAACATACTTTGATTTGGGAGAATTATTCTGAACTTAGCCAGTCTTGAAGATGGCAGTGACAGATTGCAACTCAGCCATATTCTGATATTAGACTGAGGAGGTTTCTTTCACCACCATTAACTAACCTTCTCCCAGAATTCAGGACAGCAGCAAAATTTGTAAAGAGCTAGAGTCACGTTGACACAGCTTGTCCAGTAACCAAACAGCTTTCATTTTAAACCTTGGCCCTACTTCAACATCTCTGATAAGACTTTCTGTTTCCTTGAAAAGAAAACAGCATTGAGGCAAAACCCCTGATGATTTCAGCATACTGCAAATTATATCTGTATTTAGTGTCTAACTTGGTTTTGGACAGTCTTTAAGTTTCATTATTACAACAAATAAGTTTGGCTGAGCATGATTATTGAAATTTAAAGAATTAACAGGACAAGAAAAACTTCACTCATCAGCCTTAAAATTTGGGAGAACTAAATAAAATAATTTAAGAGCCAGGCCTCTTCCTGCATGACTGGAGGCATTTAGCTAGAAACTTAGTTTCATCAGGCTCCCTTAACAATCCACAGACAGAAAAATACAGACACATCACCTGGAGATACATATGTTGCTACTGCAGTTTTATATAGGCATTTCAAACTTCCAATATACAACATCTTCCCACACACAGAAATAATAATTTGTCACTTTATGGATTAATACGGTTCATACAGAAGAGGTACAAAAAGCTGCCACAACAAATACAAAATGGAAGAAAAATTTAAAATACCATTTCACTGTACACTCTTTATCAGATAAAAATAAAAATGAGGCCTGCACTTCTCCTGTTTGGAAAGTTTTAATACCATCTTTACCACATCTTAAATATGTTTAAAATGTTATGGAAACACAAGCAAAAAAATGACGGACAAGGAACTCCTACCAAAAGACGGAAAACTTTATCTAATTACCTTTTTAAAAATGATTTGTCATTTCCATATGGAATAGTTCATTATATTAAAAAACAAACTGTTATTTATCATGAATTCTAGTACTCCAAGAAAACTAATGACTCAACAAGAATTCAATGCAAGATCCTGCTTTAACAGTGAAAGTCTTACTTCACTTCATTTAAATGTTCTCTATATAATTTTTTACAAAGATCTTACAGGCAAAAGGCAGCTTAATGATATTTTACCTTATAATTACCTGATCTACTAATTTTTAACCCAAAACTTTACTAAAAACAATAGTGAAAATGCCTACACTATCCGTGACATTCCAAGCCTAACTCAATTTAAACATGTTTTTTCCAGTTTTTCCTACTCTACAGCTTCTTCATGAGAACTGAATATAACACCCATAGTTTAATCAGGATTCAAAGGCAAGAGCCTGCTTAATGACATCCACCTTACTGAAATAATATGTTTTCTTAAAAAGAGATGGAAAAGGACAGGAAACACCCAGGCCAGTGGCAGAAGACACACCGCACTTACCATTGATCTTTTGCATGCAAAGAATGTCACTTGCAAACTCCTACAGTGTCCTTCCCTCAAGCATTGTTTAGGGCTTTTGTTCTCCTAGTAGATGAAAAAAGAGAGATTAAAAATTTGATTTCTACAGTTCATCTAAGAGACATCAAAACATCTGACCGAATCATAGAACAGAACCACCGAATATTCTGAGTTGAAAAGCACCCACAAGGATCATCCAGCCCAGCTCTTAAGGGAAGGCCAATACGGGACCGGACCCATGACCACGTTATTAGCACCACACTCTGGCCGACTGAGTAATACGGGTTAGAAAGGGACTTTGAGAATCATTTACTTCCAACTTCAGACAAGTTCACTGGGGACTTCGTTTCGGTACGGTGACCTGTGCTCTCCCCTGGAGCTGTAACTCCCTAAACTGCTACAAACAACAGGCAAGAAGCCCAAGAAGGGCGACCTGCGGGTCTCTGGCCCGGAAGGGCAGCGGCGCTCACCTGCAGGACGCAGGGGCTCTCCAGCAGGCACTGCCGCAGGTCCTCCCTCACGCCGCTGCAGGCGCGCCCGTCCTCCTCCTTATCCTCGTAGTACTTGGGCATGGCGGCGAGCCCGGCGCTACGCCCCGCTGCCACCCGCCCCGCGGCCACTGCCGACCGCGGCCGCCATCCCGGGCGCTGCGGCCGCTTCCGGCGGGGGCAGGAAGGGACGGGGCGGCTCCGGGAAGGATCCCGAGCGCCTGCGCCGCGGACGGTGCCGGAAGGCTGCGGGAGGCGGCCGCGGTGGCGGTGCCGGGCGGGGCGGGGGTCGCGCCGCGGGCCGGGGCAGCAGGTGAGACCCTCGGCGCGGGGCGGGACAAGGGGGGCGCGGCGCTGCCCGGCCCGGCCCGGAGCTGAGCGCGGGCCCCGCTGAGGGGGGGCGGGTGTTCGTCAGCAGCGGCGGCCGGGCCGCTCCTGTGCCATGGAATCGTACCCTGTAAGCGCTGGAAAAGACCGTGAAGATTATATGGTTCCAACCCCCCGCCGTGGGTAGCGATATCTCCCACTAGACCAGGTGGTTCTAAGCCCCATACAACCTGGCTTTGAACGCTGCCAGGGTTGGGGCGTCCACAACCTCCATGGGCAGTCTGTGCCAGTGCCTCATCCCCTCCACAGTAAAGAATTTCTTCGTTGTATCTCACCTAAACTTCCCCTGTTTCAGTTTGTGCCTGTTACTCCTTGTCCTGTCACTGCAGTTCCTGGTGAAGTGTCCCAGCTTCCCTGTTTTCCCCCTTCAGATATTGGGAGGTGCTAGGAGGTCTCCACACAACCTTCTCTTCTTCAGGCTGAACTGCCCCAACTTTCTTGGCCTGTCTTCATAAGGGAGGTTCTCCAGCTCTCTTACCAACTAACTCTGCGGCCTCCTCTGGACCTGCTCCAACCAATGTCATTGTTCATGCCTGTGCTCACTTTTAGCCACTTCAGCATTGCAGCCGTGGCCTGCATCGCGTTATTTTATTTGTACCCCGTATTGCGTGCAAAATCAAACACATCTTTTGAAACTCTTTCTTTAGCAAGATGCTGCCAACCACGCTGGTTAATTCTGGGAGCCAGGGCAATGGTGTGCTGAGCCGCAGAGATGCTGCGAGGCACACGGCCGGAGCAAAACGCTACAAGTACCTGCGGAGACTCTTCCACTTCCGACAGATGGACTTCGAGTTTGCGCTTTGGCAGATGCTTTACCTGTTCACTTCACCACAGAGGGTTTACAGGAACTTTCACTACAGAAAACAGACAAAGGACCAATGGGCAAGAGATGATCCTGCTTTCCTTGTGCTGCTCAGTATCTGGCTCTGCGGTGAGTGCGGGAGAACAGACAGCATAAGGAAGAGGGAGGGAAAGTTTAGGGATGAACATTTATTTTCCTTGTAATAACACGCACACACAAAAGGACCAATCTGTATGGATGATTTTTTAATCAAAGTAGAACAGAAGATAAAGGACTAGTCTTTTTGAAGTTAAGGTGGGAAGTAGAAATTGGAGTAGGCTTAAGTAGTACTCTGTAGTCTTGAATTGATCTCTCCATTGCAACTCATTTTCTGTTGCATTTTGAACTGCATAGTTCACTGTAACTTTACAGACAGTAAGAAAACCTTATGCCACGTGGCAATGTTTTTGTTTAAAAATACTGAATATTTGGTTTACCTGAATATTATGGATAAAACATTGTTTTTACCATAAAAGCCCTGGTGAGATTCTGTATATTGCAGAATTAAGCTATAAAAAAGTGGCTAATATAAATGACTGAACTGCAAATTCAGTATTGTCTCGGTTGCCTTCTATTAAATAGTGTATTCCTGTTCATAATAGAAAAACTCTCTACTGAGATGGAATTACACATGTTGTTTGGGTTAACAAGGAGCTTTTATAAAATAAAGAATGTCCTATTGTAGCATTGTCTGAATTTTTTTAAAAATAGTTTGGGTGGAGAATTACAATTGGACCCCAGTAGAGATGAGTGCTCATATTATGAATAAACTGCATTATATATATATTTTTTCATGGAAAAAAAACCCCCGAGCTGTTGGACTGAAAATCTTGGGGGAAAAATAAAAAGGAAACTGGAGATTTCATTACAGGATACAGTAAAAAAATCCATCAGTTTAAGATCTCATGCTTTCATTTCCACAGCTGACTTTAATGACCTTTCTCTGCTTTCAGTGTCTACTGTAGGATTTGGATTTGTGTTGGACATGGGTTTTTTTGAAACAATAAAACTGCTACTTTGGGTTGTATTCATAGACTGCGTGGGCGTGGGGCTCCTGATTGCAACTCTGATGTGGTAAGTAGTGATTTCTGCAGCCAAGTTCAGTATTGCTGTTCAGACACAGAGTCCTCTGCTGTTTGTGAAACACTAGGTTCTTTGTTTTGGGTAAACTTACACTAAAGTATTGAATATAGGTTTTATGCTGTTTGGAGTAATTGTTCCAAAATGATGCCTTAAAAAAGAATATATCTCTTTCTTTACTATTTCCTACAAGATTAAACGGTCAGAAGGTCTGTATGACTTTTGATGACCATTCCAGCTTTTGTTTCTTTCTTCTTGAGCTGGTTAATATTCAGCAGTAATGCCAAATTAAAAAAAAAAGGTGATTAAAAAAAGAAAAAGCTGTTCAATCAAAATAACGAATGAAGAAGTCAAGTAGTGTGAGCCTGAGGATGATTCTGTTTAAACAGGGCCATACACACTTGGCCCATGCTTCTTGCTGAAGATTGTAGCTACAGCCCCATCTGTTCTGTCTTGTGCTTGGCACCTTTTTGCTTTGTTGGTGCTGCCAGTTTTATCCTCGCCTGTCCAGAGACTTGCAGAAGTAGAGAGGCAGGAGCAGGTCATTTTACAATCCAGGCCTAATCAGCTCCACAGATGGGTCCTGCAGCAGTGAGGGAGCCATGAAACTACAGGAAGCCACTGTTTCTGGGCTGCAGCAAGGGGAGGGCACCAAAAAAAGAATTTTTATTTTACAAGGAACTTAAGAAAGCAAGGGCATGTAAGAGTTTTTAGGGATGGAGTTGACATCTTAAAGTGATGGTGATTGGAAAAGGGATAAATCCTGACAGTGGCCTCAGGAACTCCTGCTTGTAACTGCAAAATTGAGGATGAGGTACCTAAAAGAAACATAGCTGATAGATGAAAGGTCCACTTGACCTATGCTCCTGTCTGGGACAGCAAGCCATAAATTGCTTGGGGAAGAGCTAATAGTAATGCTCCCTGCCCCCATCCTCCAGCAATTTGTGCTTCAGGATGCAATCTCCTAAGCCAGGAAGACTTCAGCATCTGCTGGTTTTGCTCTGTCTTTCAGTCAGCTTCCTGCAGGCCTCAAGACCAGTCACCTGGCCTGAGTTTGGTTCAAGTCCCTTCTTCCAGTTCAAGCTCTCCTTTTTTCCCAAAAGCTCCCCCTATTCCTGATCAGTTTAAAGCTGATCAGTTTTAAGCTTCCATGAAAAATCTGGTCTCTTATTTCTGAGCATGTATTGACTTCCTGTTCCTCCTCTGTAAGGGATAAATATTTTGATGTCAGCAGAACTTAAGCTGAAGGAAAGAGCCTTGAGGCTCACTTGGTAGCCTGTAATACCGGGCAGTGCACATTGCATTTGCACATCTTTTCAGTAATAATAAGCACATGTTATGAGCACTCTCTTGCCCTCCTCCTGTCCTTGCAGTGCATCAGTTCTGTAGAGATCAAATAAACCATCTCTGTGTGAGGTGTGCTGATCCTGTAAGAGCACTTCACTGAAGTCATCTCCTGGTGTGTACAGAGAGAAGTGGCAGCTTGTGACTGATCAATTGTAGCACTGATCTCTTCTTTATAAAGAGGTTTTGTTTCTGTATTACCTGCGGGGTATTTCAGCTGCCTGTAGCATGCAAGGGACGTGAGGACAGTTTTAACAAATCCATTTAACAATAGTCTGGTCTGCATGATTCTTGCACGTTTTTATTCCCAGATAGCAGAAACTTTGTGGTGGAGTGTTGGGATCATTATGACTTACTACATCAAACCTATGTTTTGTCAGTCAGCTTTATAGATTCATATTAACAACAGTCTCAAATATCTTTTCATGTAGGTTCATTTCAAATAAGTACTTAGTGAAGCAGCAGAACAGAGATTATGATGTGGAGTGGGGATATGCCTTTGATGTACATCTGAATGCCTTCTACCCTCTTCTAGTCATTCTGCATTTTATCCAGCTGTTCTTCATCAACTGTAAGTAGAATACTTTGATCTCTGTGCTTCAAAATGGTGCACTATCAAAACAGCTGAGAGCAGTTATCTCTTGCAGATGTCATCATTTCTGATTCTGTCATTGGGTATTTTGTTGGGAATACATTATGGCTGATTGCAATTGGCTATTACATCTACGTGACATTCCTGGGATACAGTGGTGAGTAACATCAACTTCTTCTCTATTTGTTTGACTAAAAAGAAGAGCATGTTTTCAGGCTATTAATTTCATCTTAGCATATTATTTGTGAAGCAGAGGCTTAGCTGCATTTTGAAGTAACTCTTTCTTTGTGGTAAATGAAGTCTCATAGAAATGTACCAATCCATGTTTTCAGCTGGATGGACATCCTAACCAAAGAATTTATATTCTCCACCTCACCAAATTTCCTTCCTGTATTAGTCCTGTAGCACCATAACTTAGTTTTCTTGGATTTCCTCTGTAAATCCACTTGAAGATGTTTGCATTAGATAAAAATTCTGTAATGAGTTTAAGACCATAGTTTTAGGTAAAAGAGTTCCCCAAGGCATGTTGAGATAACTGTGGGGCTAGTAGGGCACAGATGTCTGAGGAGGGCAGCAGAGTAGAACTGTTTTTTATTGCTACCTTGCCCCAAGGCTACTTTACATGAAGCGCTTTTTTCAAAGAGCACTACTTTATACTTGCTTCAATATTGCTTCTGTTTCAGCATTGCCCTTTTTGAAGAACACAGCTATTCTTTTGTATCCATTTGCACTTCTCATCATGCTCTATTTGATCTCATTAGCATGTGGATGGAACTTCACCAAGATGCTTTGTTCCTTTTATAAATACAGAGTGAAATAAAACCAGGACTTCATGTATCTAATGTTTATTTTGTTTCTACCTTAGCCATTTTGACAGTAAAGAAAAAATTAAGAACATTTTGTATGTAAATGGTTGTAAATTTCTCTTTATTGTAGATAATTGTGTAAAAAAGTTTGAAGTGTCCTTTTTTATTAAAATATTTACAACAGTAAACATGTTAGCAATTCTGTTCAAATACTTTCGCAGTACATTCCTAAAAACAAGTTACTTGTACATTTCTGTAGCTTAAATTGAACTGCAACAAGTCTATGTAGCATAACTCTTACTGCAGATACTATGCACATACTGGCATAAGCTCTACATTATGAGGGGTTTAAGTGACACCAAAAAGCAGTTTTATTGAAGAGTAATATTGGAATACCTTGCCTTGGGACTGTGTGAAAGTACAGATCAATAGTGTTGCAATAGTAAAGCAACAACTGTCTCAAGATACAGATCTGTCCTCTCCTTGTATGAGAGATTGTGAGAACAGATTTACTTCAGTGACTACTTCAAATATACATGGACAATTCTGGCACACAGAAGAAACAGTGATGAAAGGCACAATTAACATGACCCATATCAGGTTTCCAAAGATAGCAGCAAGTTTTAAACCCAATCTCTAGCAGTCCAATGGGTATTACTACATCCACCATTCTGAGTGGCAGGTCAATCAATGAACATGGAAGGAAAGTACAAGTTGGTTTGGCTACAGGGGTGGGCTCATGGCAATGCCTGCAGTTGTGAAGTCCACAAGGCAGAAGTAGAAACTGACCATAACAAACAATACCTTATGGAAAGTGAAAATGACAGCTTTCCAATGCAGTGTTCAGCATGAAACATGAGCACTGGGATTCAGGTTCCAAAACAACACAAGAGTAAACTGGTTACAGTAAGACAATTTCAATACTAGAATTTGATTTCTAAGGAAAAACTATAATTTATCTTAAAATACCAAATATGCTGGCAGTGCATCTTACAGTACTGTGTGTTTCAGCCACTGTTAAGGCTTGAAGAGATTCATGTTTCCCTCTCAGCAGATGCTGAGCAATGTTCTCCTTTAAACAAGGAAAGCAGTGAACTGCTGATCCATGGAAGGTGAAGAATTCCAGTCAGGATCTGCTCCCTTCCTGGCTAACAGCACAAGCTCCTGTCCTGCAGGCAGCTGCAGCCTAACTGTACACCTTTTCCCTAACAGGAATTCAAGCATCACTGATCATCCACTTCAACAGTAAAAACACTTCATATTTAGTGCCCTATGGTGCGATACCATTGAAGGACTCAGGGCCTGTGTACCTTCCCTTTAGAGATATTAATGGTTTTCCCCTTGAAACAACACTTCCTCATTCTCAAAATAAAGCTACTTCAACTTCCAGCAGTTCACTGTTTACAGCAGAATTTAGCAAAACCCTTTAGAGACCACTAAGGTCAGAAAGGTGACACTCAGGAATAATTCACCAGGTCTCCATGGGCTGTGTGTTATACATCAGCAATCAGTGCTAGCCTGAAAACACCAGTTGTTTAATAGCTTTTCAGCCTTATGCTGGTGATTGTAAAGATGATTTAAAAACACGAGGACTTTGTTTTTTCCCCCCTTTCTAGCTAGAGTTACTTGTTCTAGCTTTTTCAGAATACATCCTTCCTAGTAAGAACAAACGTAGAACCTTGGGTTCATATATTTTAGGGGAGCAAGGCTTGAGAGGATTTCATTTTTCTTTTCCCCTATGACACTAAAATAATACTTTCCAAGTTGGAGGCGAACTACAAACTACTATGATACTTCATCTGGAGCAAGTACTTTCAACAAAATACAGAGATTACTGAAATTATATCTGGGAAAAAAAAAAACCAAAACTGATACACAGTTTCCAAATTTTTCCAAAGACTAATCACACTTCAGCTCATTCAAGGAACTGTGTTTCACACAGGCAAAGTATAAATTGCTTTGCTCTAAACTGACTCAAGGTATTTTAAAACTGCTTTGAAACAGTTAGACAAGCAGTGATAGCAGACAACAGGAGACTCCAGTCTTTTCTTGGTCCATGAATCACATCTATCTGAATTTTTCTAATCCATCTTATTAGTACAAAAAAAAAAAAAAAAATCCATAGGAATTTTTTCCATCAGTGAAAACACACGATTGAGATGCCTGCAAAAGCTCAAAGCCTTATACAGTGCTTTAGAAACACTCTAATTATCACATCCTGTTCACATTATTTACAAAGTGTTCAGTAGCATGACCCACTGAATGAAAGCAAGATTATACTGGCAGTCTTGTGTTTTCTTGGTCCCAAGCAATCCTGATCAGCTCAAAAAAGCAAATGTTCACATCAGTCAGTCTGTTTGGCATCCAGTATAAGTTCCTTTGCCCAGGTAATGAAGGTTTCTGGCTATGCCTTTGGTTTCACAAAAGTTTGCTTTTCTGGAGCTTTAACAGCATCAGGAGGAGCTAACAGGAGTATAGGATAGTGCAGTTTTTTTTCAAACACTTTCCATTATTGGATAAACTCTAAGATTCAGTGGCCTCAAGGGGATTTTTAAGGTGACAACAAAGGAAGTTGAATACATTTAGGGAAAAACTCCCTCAAAATAGGTAATAAGTTTAAGATGCTGTTTAAGATCTCCTGTGATATTATTGTCCCTTACAATGGAGATGTGCAGGAAACACCTGCCCACTGGTGCAGACCCAGTCACAAACAGGACCCAAGCTAAAGGCTGATGAGCCAAACAGCCCAGGTGTTTTTACTTCACCGTACTTCCAGGAAGGAGTCTTGCACCACTTTAGCCTGATTTGAGATTTAAAAGTACAAAGCCAAAAATAGCTGTCTGCAGAAATAATCTACCTGATTACACCAGCTCTGAATTTACCTGGATCTATGAAATATCATTTGTATTGATAATGTGGCACATTTTGTATTTGATAATGCGGCACATTTATCTAGAGAGCCTGTAAGCTCAGGAACACTGAAAGCATTGAAGCAGCCCAGAGTATTTTCAACTCCTGCTACTACAATGTAATAAAAATGCACGTCTTTAGAAAACAACCCACATTTTACCACACACTTGTTTAATTTGTTGTCTTGGACAAATTTCTTCTCAACATCTTTGAAAACTAAATCCACTACTAACCAGTCTTGCCATCAATGTGGAACGAGTTCTGTGTATTTAAGTATATTAGCAGTGATTCATCTTAACTACTGTGAAATGTCAGGAACAGTGATGCTTTTAGAATAAGCACACAGGTTTCTTACATAAATAGTACCAGTAAACTTCCAGACTCACGGAAAAAATGGAAAAGGTCACTGTCAACAAAACTAATTATATTCAGAAACTGCAATATCTAATGTATTTCTGCAGTCTGGATTGTAATAAATAATCCTAGTTTAAATAACTTGCATCATTCATTCACAGACACAGCTGAGAAGAAAACCTAAACACTTTCTCAGACCTTTGCTAGCTGATGTGTGATTAAAAAAAAAGCTGTTGCATGTTGGTAATTTGATGGCAGGGCATTATACAGGAAACAAACGGGGCTGTAGCACCACAATAGGCTAGAGTCACACGGGATTCAGAACCCAGTCACCCACATTCCCAAATCCAAGGATAAACTCCATTTATGTGACCAGTGTTTAGCTTATGCCCACAGCATCTATGGGCAATACAAGCTTTCCAAGTAACATTTTATTTACATCACCTGATGCAATCAGGAAAAGTAAGCAAGGTCCCCTTGGCATCTAATTTTTCTTGAACTTACACCAGTCAGTCTAAACAGAAGGTCTTGCTCTGCGTACAGATCTTGTCTTCCCTGTGTCCCCAGACAACATAGCTAAACCAAAATGACAACAGTCTGTAGAAGTAGTTAAGTTCTTCAACTTGAATATTGCTGAATTGTCAAAGCTATGGCACAATTCTCCAACAAGGCAGAAGAGAAGACAGGTTGACACTATAATCCAGTAGTGCTTGCAGTGCTAGCAAGGCAGGTTTAGGCTCCTGCTCCTTACAAGCCTATCGTGAAAGGGAACCCAAATCTATCAGCTGAATTTTAATAGGGAAGTATAAATTCAAGACCCCTGCTCTAGATCAGGGAATCTGCAACAGGTTTTGTGCATCTGTGCCCTGATCACAAAGACAATAAAGGTCTTTTCCAACTTAAGTGATTGTATGATTCTGTGTTGGGTGTAGCAGAATGTGGTTTTTCCCACAGGGAAAGCTGGCCAGCTTTTGAGATGTCAGTTCCAGGAGGCTGGTTCACAGCACAACTGACAATACCCAAGCCAGCATGGATGCCTCCCTCCAATGTCAATCAGGCACTTCATTCCTATTAAAAGGGAGGAATTCCTGCCTCTCTTTTTCCTGGCCATTTCTGACTAACTGAAGTCTTCCCATGCCTGAGTCCTTACACATAGGCACCTAAGCAGAAGGACTCTCAAGAAAAGCAGCAGCATTAGTACTGCAACAGTTCCACTCTGATTGTAATCCAGACCACGTTCTGTTCCTGACCAAGTTTCTTATTCATTTAAGATCACTGTTGTTTCCCTTGACACAAACAGGCAGGCTACTAACTTGAGGCCAAATTCAGTTCCTGCTATAAAGTTGGTGTGGGTTACCACACTGATCCATAAAGGAGTCAAACTAAGACCTTGATCTTAAAGAAAGGAAGAAAATAAACTGTAACTACTCACTAATGTATCCAAAATAAATGCTGCAATAACAGAACTTTTTAAAAGGAGACCTTTGTAAATCAAATGTATCTACTGTTCATTCTTTTGATAAAAGGTAACCTCTTGTCACTCCAAAACAAAACTGGAGAATGATTTTCTTCAGTACAGAAAATGAATTTGTTCAGCCTAGGAAATGTTTACAAATATTTTTAGAAAGAACTGGTTTGGAGTAAAAAAAAAATTCTTCTAAAATGCAATGGATTAAATCTAAAATTACTGCAGATTTAGTACATAATATGAAACAAGACATTTCAACATGCTTTTTATGTGGCTACAAACTGTACATAGTGGAATTTCATAGCCCCAAAGAATAATGCTCTTCAGAACTCTGTTTATGCCTCTGAACATTATTCAGATTCTGTGTATAAAACTACATAATTTAGAAACTTAATCTTGTTTTTTTTTAAACATGGCAGTATATTTGAAATATGGTATTAATTTATGTTTGCATCTCCAAAGAAAAATGTAGAAAGATAACTTAAACTAGAGAATTCATAAAAAAACTATATCAATTTAAAATTTTACTGCATAAAAATATGTACTTTTCAAATTATTTTAATAAATTAAATATCCCTAGCATTTTTAATATATATCCCTGACAAGTCTATAAAAGAGGGTTCTTGTTATAGAAAATAAATGGAACTCCGAAAGTACCCCCTTCATAAAACTTATTTAACAATAATTATATTTTTTTTTCTTCAAGGAATGTAACAATATGTACAACTCTATATTACTATACTATCAAAATAGTACAGGTTAAGCGTAGCAGGGTTCTGCAACCATAAGATGGTAAAGTCACATTACAGTGGAGGACAACCTGGGCCTCAGACGAGCGTTATCAGTGTGGAGCATCAGTTTCTGGATGGATCAGATAAGAAGGGGTAAATACAATCTTCTCATCTACAGTAGATTTCACAAGAGGTAGAGTTCAAGTGAAAAAGAATGACATTTGGAATAAGGTGCATGCTCAGTATTTTCAATTTGTGACTTGCTAAGGATGTCAGATTTTATAGGAAGAATTTTCAAGAATTCTTTCTTTCTCCTCTAAAGCAGATTTCCATGATCAGTTTGTAATCTTTTTAATATGAATCTGAAATAGAGAATCAGAAGAAATAAGTCATGGTTTAGTGTATTACATTTCTCAGTAATAAGAGCTAACTATTTTTAGTGTTAGCCACAAGTCTGAGCTTCCAAATAGAATGAAGAAATCTCCCATTCACCGGTTATGTTTTTCAATGTTCTACCACCTCTTACCTCATTCAGAATTGCCCAAACAGCTGAATTTTGGATCACTGAAAGCCGGAATGATGAAATAGGATTTAGGCTGGGGTCAACTGTTCCTTCAGCTACACCGTTTTCAAACTTCCCTGCAAAGGTACATAATTGAGTCCTGTTCAATAAACTGAAGTACAAAATCCAGAAAATGTATCTGCAGTATCACAATTCACAGTATCACAGTGAAACCAGTATCATTCCCAAAATAAAAGGCAGTGAGTGATTTTGACATCAGATCCAGTTTTGCCGCAGCAAACAATACAGGGCACATCATCAGCACACAGAGGATTACACATAAGAATAAAAGCTTTGAAACTGTCTAAAGGCATTAACACCTGAAACTCTGTGAAGGTTTTGGCACAGGTACTCATTTAATATCACAGAACTAATATGATGCCTTTGGCTTATGTGTTTTCAAATAGGATTAAGGACAAGGGATATCATTCATGCATAACATATTCCTATTTAAAGCATCTTCAATTATATTAGGATGAGTAAGAATTCAATTTAAAAGCCCAGTTAGACTTTACAGTTAAGCCATATAGACAACTGAAATTTATTATGACAAAAAAGGTATAACAGGATTGCCCAAACTGTGTCCAGCAACTAATTAAAATCCATGTGTAAAATTTCTCTTCCTTGACAACAAGTATCCAAGCACCTTCCCCAACAGCCTCTTGGCTGTTGAAATGCCAATTTCATCCTGTGATGAGACAGCTGATTGTCTATAGGGTGGGTTCAAATCCACGCCAAGCACACAACTCAAAAAAGCACTTGTGCAATCACAGGACAGAGGAGGTGATCTTACAAAACCTGGAAATGCCTCTGTTATAATCCAGGTGATCAGTCCTGGCAGAAAAGTTGGATGTAGCTGCATTACAACTAAGAGTCACAAGAGATCTCTGTTCAGCGCATAAGTCTTTGAAAAGAATTACTGGACACAACATTAAGTAAAGCCTATGGGGTCATATACTCAAAAATGAATGATAAAAACTCAGGTTTAGGTTTGTTTTGGTTTTTAATAAAGATGTCTATGAGAGTTGCAATAGTAAGAATACACATTTTTTTCTACTGTTACATACCTATCCTGAAGTAACCATCCTCTAAGCGTTTGTCTTTGGTTTCTTTGCTTAATACCAGTTCTTCACTCTAGAACAACAAAGCACAAATGAGATAATTTATTTGACATATGGCTTTTCCAGAGAAAGACAAATGTGTGTGCACTCTTCTTATATATCCATTTTTTCCAAATAATTACGAACAAGCCTGGAATATAGTTTTTTATAGCCTTATAGAAGCCAACATGAAAAAAAAAAAAAAAAAAAAAAGAAAAAAGAAAAAAGAAGAAAAGAAAGAAAAAAAAGAAAGAAAGAAAAAAAGAGCAGCAGTGTTCCAGAACTGAACAATTCTTGGCTTCAAAGGAGAAAAATCAAGTTCTCTAATGCCCCATGAAACTCGCATGGTAACTGCCTCGTGAACAGAATACTTAGCACGTACTGGCATACACAGCAGGAGACAAGCAAAGGCAGGACTTGCCTTCTTTTTCTATGGCTTAACAAGAGCTTTCTTTCTTGGACAAATGAAAACTTACAGTTTACTTTTTGATCTAAGACTTTGGGTGAGATAGAAAGCCATCAGACCAGTGAGGGAAGCACCACAATTATCACTGCCTCACTATATGAATGGGAATCAGTCAGTTTTATGGAATAAGCACAAAAAAAATTTGTAGAACAGATCCTGAAAAACAGCTTGAAAATTACAACCATGATCCAATACTGAAAGACCCACTCTAAGAATTTCCCAGGAATTAATTTAAAATGTTTGGCAAAATGGAGATTATATTAATCAGCTTTTTTTTTTTTTTTAATTCCTATTTTTTTTTTTTTAATTCTTATGCTGAAAAAGTGGTGGCAAGGTTTTTGGTTATTTATTTGGGGGGCAGGTGTTTTGGTTTTCTATGTTGTTGTTGGGACGTTCGGGGCAGGTTTTTTTCATAGATTGTCTTGAGGGGGCTTTTAGTATGCTGCTTGAATCCCAGGCAAATTCAGGCTGGGGGTACTCTGGTTTCTAAGGGTTTTTTGTTTTCCTGAATTCTACTAAAGGAAGATCAGGGTTAAAATATTTGAAGGAGTTTCTAGGTCTACTGAAGTCCAGGGTGGAGAAACAGGGCCCTGAGAAGCTGCTCTCCTCAGCTGACATTATTTTACTGACAATATTTTCTTCTGACACCAGTGGCTTAGGAACAGGCCAGATGCAAAATTTCCTGTTTACCTTTTCCACAAATTGCATCAATAGCAATAGAACCCTGTAGAATTACTTCCTTAAAGGATGCTCCAGTGAGGGACATTCCACAGCCAAGTAAAGCCAAAAAAGAGATGCCTGCTGCACATTTTTGCTTGTTATCTTGTGCATTCTTGTATCTTTAGCTTGGATGAAGTGAGGGCTGCTGCTGTATTTTGTGGTTGAATGTATTTCCACAGGTCTTGATAAACAAACCCCTCAGATCTTATGATATAATATTCCACATGTCATGTTTTATAATTAGAACCAAACGAACAATTTTCTTTTCAAGGATAGGAATAGTAAGAATTTCCTATTTTTGCCTGCTCTAAGGAAGGTAGACTAGGAAAATGGAGATGTGAGTAATCCTCCATGATTACTTACTTAAAAAAAACAGATAAAAAGAAAGTTAAAAAAATATTCAACTTACAGCAATTTTGGCCTAGATTTCAAGATTCCTACCCCAGGTATATGGGGGAAGGCAGAGATATTTTGTCATTTTAATATTAAATAAAATAAAAATTTGTCTGAAGTAACTTCTTAATCCCCTCAGTCTTTGTGATATAAATAGGTAGCTGTAGTATCTAGTAGAAGAAAAAGAATCCATACCATCTGACTTCAAACAAGAATATACTTTAGATAATGTAGTACTCTCCTGTGGTAAAACTGGCTCATTTATGGGGAAGAAACATCAGAAATCAGGAGAAAGGTACACATTCTGTTTTAAGAATCTATATATTTCAGTATCTAGTGGGTTTGGATGTGTGTCAATTCCTAAACTAAGACTTTTTTACTAAGTCAAATAGTAGATTGACTTAGGTTTCCCATTTGCCAAAATACACAGGAGAGGGAAGACTGTTTATTTTTTTTGTTTAAAATAGTAGCAATGAACTGGGAGAAAATGACCTTGTTCACCTCAGAATTACCAACAGCACTTGTATCAGACTGCACCCTGAATGAACATTTGAATAGTTACAATAGTCTTCTGTGAACATATCCAGTTAAAAGAAGGAAAAGTATAAGAACATCAGAACATCAAGTTCATACAGTTAAAAGAAGCATTTATGTCTCCTCACTGTTAAAAAAGTCAATAAAGAGGCTTTGCTCTTATCCTGTAATGGAGAAGATACAAATCAAAAATTTTGTACCTGAAAAGGCAAAACTTCTACAGTTGTGTTTAGAAGTATGTCTCCTGGATGCTCTGGATTGCCACTGTGAAACAAGTACCTATAAATGAAAAGGAAAACAAAAGACAGGTTATACATCAGTCAGAATCAGTTGTGTTACTGTCTGACATGTTAATTGTCACATACAGATGTTACAAGAATGAACATTTTTAAACTGAGCCTACATCAGCTGGGATAAGGTGCTTTCACATATCACTGTAATTGGAAGGGGTCAAGGTTTTCAGTTGCTAAAGAGTAGTTGGGCAGTATTTCACACAGGAAGGGAGCTTGCATCATGTGTAATTTGTGCATTACACAAAGCTGTGGTCATAACTGCCTGGCACACACTGGTATCGCCTCCTGAAGCACGAGCCCTGCCCTCCTTCTGCCTCTCCCTGTGCCCACAGGATGAACTCTGCAGATCAAAACAGTTCTGGGAACTTAGCCAAGTCAATATTTTGCCAGGTGAGTGTTCCCCAAGTCCATTTCTCCACCATGGTTCACTGCAAAATGTCATTGATTATTGTGCCAGGAATTCCCAACCCACATCCACACCCTACATGTTACGTGAGTTCAAACTTCTATTCCAAAGGCAGATTTATTTAAGAAAAAAGTATCCCAAACCAAAAAAGCCTGGTTCTGTCATGTATACACACATAAAAAAACCCTGTACCTTTTAAAACCTGTACAAAGTCCCCATTACTCTCACTCAGTTGTACAATTAACTTTTTTTTTTAATTGGACGGAGTAAATAAGTTTGAAACATTATCTAAGTCATCCCTATCAGTATCAATCAGTGAAGTGTTCAAATTCTAGCTGCCTGCTTTGAACAGCTTTTGCAGTACTGCACATGTGTAGAATATGTCACAAAAGAGACAGTTAATTCCTCTTTCTTTATATGTGACAGGAACTTCATATTATTCTGAATATGTATTATGTAAACCAGTAATCATATTTTTTTACCACTAGGTGGAATCAATGCTTGAAAATTGTTCACTACTTGCCATTTTTTCTAGTGGACTGGAGTTAATTCAGATTACTGTCATAAACTAATTAGATCCTACACCTACTCAGATGCCACTTTTAGGAAGAATATTTTACTTTTATTAGGTTTAAATGAATATGTAAAAATCTATCAACACATTTCAAATCTTTCTTCAATTGGAACTTAGATGGTACTTACTGTTAATTTCTCTTCACCATTAAATATGTCACCAGCCAGAGACAAAATTAGTTCAGAAATTATCACTTGATTAAAATTAAAAACATCATCTCAATTTGCAATTTATTAAGATGCAGTTAGAAATGTAAATTCCAGCTTGTTGTTATCCAATATATCTGAAGCCAGGCTGAATACCTGCCATTAATCCATACTTCATAGCAACAAGACAAGTAGAAAACAGTGCTCTGACCCCAGCCCAGAAATGTCTGTGACCCCAAAATGATAGAAGTATTTTAAGAATATGCACACACATGTAGAACATTTCTTTTATCAAGGCTCAGAAAAGGAGTAAAACATCAATAGAACTTGTGATACAAGAAATTAACACTGATTTCTATTCCATTGGTTTCAGCAGAACTGCACAGATGGACTGGAAAACAGAACTGCACTAAATAAGCCTCACTACTGTGTCTCAAGAAAAATAATTTCCACACTGTACTTTAATGTTAGGTTAGTCAATTCCAAAGTATACAAGCTACCTAAAACCCACAGTTCTTCCAAAACAAATGTTGTGATTTTTTCTAGACATTAATTACATCCAAAAAACCCCAACAGGTAACAGTAATTATTTTCTAGGAAGATGCCTTCATTGGACATCTCAATAAAAGCAAAACAAAACTCTCTGGAAAGCTGACCAGAAAACCAAAAGTACATTCTGCTGTCTTTTGACCTAATAGATCTAACTAGTCATTCCTTAGTCAGTGAGATATCCTAAGCAGTACTGTCCATTTTTTATCTTGAAAACACTGAAAATTCTAAGGAGATTTAATTTAAAATGGAACTTGCCATCTAAGGTATTGCCATCAAAGGCTCCACCCAAACCACAGACATGCTGCTTTTCCTTAGCACTTAGTTCTGAGTGGACACACCTAAAAATCCCCAAGAGACTCCCTGTGATCTGGGATCACTGTGCTCCCAATGAACAGTGACTGGCTTCAGAGGTTTGGATGATTTTTTGGGGGGAAGAAATAGCAGTGAGGGCTTTGTTTGTTTGTGAGGGGTTGTCATTTATTTATTTGGGTTTGTTTGCTTGTTTTTACAAACAACCCTGCAAGCACACAGCCACAGCCAAACATTTCTCCTACTGTGCCATCAGCTTTGAGACTGAGCTGCAGCTTCCCCTCCTCAGCAGTTGTCACTCCATTAGAGCAATGCACTCCTGGCACGGAGCCAGAACAATTTACAGCAGTAATTAATCAAACCTGATTTCCATGTAATCAAACCTGCTATTTTAGTATGTTTTCTATAACTATCTGTTAATCCATATGCACACACAAATGTAACACATGCTCATGTCACATTTTAAATTATGTTTAGAAAGGAAGGGATATTTTTATATCTGAGCCTTGCTTCAACACTTGACAGATAACACCTACTTAGACATTAAAAGTTACACATATTGAAAACAGAAGCCTAAATACACATATACAGTTAATCCATATCTATAATATTTTGTTTAGAACTAAAATTTACCAATTAGAAAATTTTATTAGAAATAAAATTTAATTTATGAACAAACAGATGTTCTACAGTTCCTAAAATAAGTGTCATTAGCTATTCTTTTGTAAAACTTGCTTTTCTGACAGGGTAGATTTTCCAATGGAGATTCTTTGGAAATGGGTTGAGAGAGTAAAACTAATTTCAAAGTTAAGGTCAGTTAAACCTCCCTTTCAAAAACCCTTGAAATGGCTTTTAAGTAACCTATCTTTTCCTCCCCAAACCTTTTGGGTTTGCACTCTTTATATGCCAAGACCTTTTTTACAAAGTTGCTGCTATGTTACTAGACATTTAATTGGACAAGAGAGTATTATCGGTTTCTCCCTCCCAGGTGGAGAGAAGACTCCTATGTCTCCTAACTAATGAACTAATTTATTCATCTGATATTTCTTTAGTAAAACAGACATTTCTAAAAACCACAGAGACATTTGCAGGACATGTAGGGTCCTCATTAAATCACTAATGTAGAGTAATCCATCTGATACCCAGAGGATTATGAGGTTCTTACCTTTTACTTAATTCCTACACCAGTAGTAAGATGTCTGGCCCAATCCTTTTTTCTTTCAAGGGAAACACTGGTTTATAACTGGACTGAATGACCTTAAATGTCTTTTCCAACCCAAATGATTCTATGACTCTATGGTTTTCAGACTATGGTAAGTATTTCTCAATACAGATAATGAAGAACCTGGGAACAGCTTTGCTTTCAATTGCTAAATTATTTTGACACCTGTCCTGGGATTTACACATGACAGGCCATGTAAACAGTAAAAACATGTGCTTTTTTCCCTGATTACTTAACATTTTTCTTAGGGTAGAATCACTAAGATTTCCTTGTCTACCTGCTGAAGGTAGACAAGTTAAACCTGTTAAACCTAACGCCTTCTGAAGCATTCCTACAAATAAAAATTCTGAAAGCAATGGATCTGTAAATACAGTAATCCCAACCAAACACAAATTCACCTAAAGTTAAAAAAAACAAACCCTACTATTGCCTTATGGAATATTACTTCACTACTTTCTTAATTACAAAATACAAACATGAACACAATTGAACATTTTTGATCAAAGTCATTAGAGAAAAGTAACTCTAACTTACAATTGCTAAGTATAATACTAATGTATCTGAATCTAAGAGAACCTTTTCTGCTGGCAGTGTCTTTTTAAAGAGTCACAGGTCAAAGATAATAACCAGCAACTCTAGGTATTCAAGCACAGAGAAAAACCTCCTCTCTACCAGAAATAATTAAATCTATGAACTGACTACACATCTAAAATCAAGCCAAATAGAAGGGAAACCCCCCTCCCCCCAGCCAATAAGCTGAAACAAATATTCATGCACACCCTAACACACAAAGGGAGGGGAAGGTAGAAGTGTAATTATCATTTGTACACTGACAAAAGATACCATTAGTCCTCCAATGCAGTTAACTATTTACAGTACTTTAAAAGCCCACAATCAGGTTCCGAATTCCTCCAATAGTGAGCACCTCAGAAAGATTCTCACCTTTTGTAACATCCCCCATAAAATGGATTCATCAATATTACTAATTTGAACTGCTGACTTTGATATTCCTTTAATAGCTGAATTTTTTCATCACCTGTGCTTTCAAAAAAAGCCCAAAACAACCATGCACACCTCTACCCACCCCCTATCTTGCTTATAAAGGGATGAATCTCTCTTCTTTCAAGCATATCCAAGCATATTTATGCCCAAAAAACTATTATTCTCTGTATTACCCAATTTGACTTCTTTTACGTGTTAAAAAAAATCTTCATTTTATTTAAATGAAGTGCCCATTATTTTTTCATCTATAGAAAGTGTTCTAATTACATGTTCTAATTAAAATAGAACTGAACACACAACAATTTTATTAGTAAATTATGGCAGTTTTATAAAAGGAAACAGTATGCAAAATACCTTAAACAGCACAATTCACATCCACTGTCAATATGCTTGGGTTTTGTGTTGAAGGAAACAAGTTGCTTGACCTGATACTAAACCTGATTCTAAGAACATAAGAATGCAGGCCTTTGTGCTATGTAAACATCAGCAATCAAATACTTTCCTTCACATATCCTCCTTATGTTTTTTTTAGCAATCTGATGTATTTTATATCCCATTTTCAGAAAAGGAAAATAGGTAGGAAGGCAGAGAGGAAATGTTTCCTTCCATGTTTGAACAAATTATCCATAGCAACATGCAGCCTTAGAGTTTTTAATTCTGCACAACATGAATTTCTGTAAAAGCAATATTCAGTCAGCAATTTTTTGGCTTTCTACAGATGCCATCATCCACTGCAAGAGTCATTATTCACCAATTCTATCCAGCATTTTTGATC